GTTCAGGCTTACTGCTCCCTTAGCCTCCCACATACATGCCGGAGTTCTCAAGTCCTGCATTTCTCCCTGCATTTACTCAGAGGGATAAGCATAAGCAACTCTTGTCAGTGGGGAAATTTATCAGCTGGCAGGAGTGTGAAGGAAGCTAAGAATACAAACCAAAATATTAAATGTATTCATTTGTTAGATTGGTAGCCCACTTTCCTACCAAGAAAAGGGTAATCAGGGTGACTTACAGTGCTAAACAAAGCCTGATGAAAGCAGTCATACATGAGTTGAAACACAATTAGAAACATAACAATAATAATTCACTGGGCAACCAACACTAGACCCATTTTCTTGCTGAAGGTTTGCTTGGAGAAAAAAAACTTTGCCTGCCAGTGGAAGAAAAACAGAAAGGGAGGGAGCCTGGCCTCCCTGGGCATGGAGCTCCACAGACTGAGGGTGGCTGCCAAGAAGGCCCTCTCTTGGGTCACCTCCAAAATGCCCCTGAAGGCAGCAGTATTGAAAGGAGAGCTTCTCCTGAAGATCTGAAGAGCCAAGCAGGATTTTATGGGAGACGCTGGTCTTTGTTGCAGCTGGTCCCAAGCTCTATATGAATTTATGGGTCGTACCCAGCACTTTGAGTTGTGCTCACAAATAGACCAGTAGCCATTGCAGCTGTTAGAGCAAGGGAGTCACGTGTTCCCCCAATTGGCTCTGGTCAACCGTCTGGGCACAGCATTCTGGGTCAGTTTTTGAAGGCAGGCCCACACAGAGTGCATTACAGTAGTCCAAAAGAGATCCAACCAAGGCATACTTAACCACAGCTGGACCAAACATTCTGGGAAACAGCATTGTTACTCCCAAGCCTCAGCAGCACAACCGCCATCTTGGCCACTGCCAGAATGGGTGCATCCAGGTTCAAGGACAAACCTGGGAGGCTCCCCAAACAGTGACCCGGAGTCTTCAGCAGGGGAATAATCCCATGCAGCACAGACTGTCTCCATTCCTTAACGTGCCTTTTGATCAGCCAGAATTGTCTTGTAGGGATTAAGCTTCAGTTTGTTCACCCTCATCCAAAACATGACCAAACCTTAGAAGCATTTATTGATGATATCACTGAAATCAGTTTCGATAGCTTCAGCGTATATTCTGTTAGCCCCTTGTGTGCAGGTGTGTGCAGGCATATGTAGGTGTCCTGGGGCCACTCACTGCTTCCTCACCCACAATCCATCCCACCCGACAGTTTGGCCCCTGAAAGAGTCTACAGTCATTAATAAAAAGGTTAAGACCTTTTTGTTTCAGCAATATTTTACTAAATTTTAATATCATGATTTAAGCATGTTTTTATTGCAGCCAGTGTGGGTTGATAATTTTATCTATGTTATATTTTATTGTATTTTATCTATGTGAGCCGTCCTGAAGCTTTCGCAACAGGACGGCATATACATACTTTTAATTAATTAATTAATTAATGAAGCCCTCCATCCCTGTCTTGGCTGGGGATATTATTTATATTAAAGTAGTTAATGTACAATATTAATGGGAATAGAACAACTGAGGAACATGAAGGGGTGAACCATAAGCAAGCAAGAAAAGCAGAAAGAAAGAAAATCCCAAACAAATGTTGAAAAATGGGATCATGTAATCAGAATGCAACCTTGAATAATAGTATAGAAATTGCACTTGGTCTACAAAAGAACTCAGAAATGAGGGCCACAATATGCTGGAGAAGCCTTGTATGTTTCCTATGTTGTTTAACAAAACTGTTATTGATATCTTTCTTGGTTTCTGAACTAATTGAAACTACTGACAACATTTGCAAACTAAGAACGCAACTTGAGTGGACCTGTGCTTTGTTTTGGCATGTGCTGATGCTGTTCCGTGATTGCTTCAACTTGCCAACTTGCAGCTCAATCCCCATTTACTCTGCTAGTGCTCAGCCAACTTCTGGCAGCTTTGCTGTGGCGTGTAATTGACAAGAGGCTGAAGGGTGAAGCTGTCACAGGATCATGGACCCATGTGTAGAACTCTCCATGCTGCCGTTCAACCTGTAATATCCAGCACACCATTTTTATACTCAAAACTATTACCCATTACATCAACCTTCTCCAACATGGTGGCCTCCATATTTTTGGACTTGCTTTCCCAGTGTTTCTAACAATGGACCATGGCTACAGTTGCTAGAAGTCCAAAACCTCTGGGGGACACCAGGTTGGGAAGGACTGGATTAAATATATTTATTCTCCAATTCATGTAACAAAGCCCTAGCAGCTGTCTTTTTATAAACAAAAGCAGCTTTGTGAAGGGGGTTACAGAGAAGTTGTGCCTGTTTGCTTAACATGACATGTTATTGTGGGTTAAACAACCCCTGATGAGCTGCAGAGTGTGCTAGGTGTGTGGAATCTGCTCTGAATATACAATCCGCAGCTGGGGCCATTGGGAAATGCTTGGAGTTGGAGGGCCTTTTAATGAGACCATTTTTGAAAATGTTGTTCTCCTTCCTTTTCATCACAAGATTCATTAAAGTTATGCCCCAGGACAACTGCATGTTCCATGGCACAAGCCTAATGCATAACTTCCGTGGCCTAAAGTGTCAGTGTGGTCCTGCCTTTACGCTTCTCCTGAATTAAAACTGTTCACTCCACTGGAGCAATAGGAATGTTATTCTGTATGAATTCTGCTCAAACCTTATTGAATCCCATTTGTATTTGTTGATTTCTCTAATTAGTATTGCAACATAAAGAAGAATTGACTGCAAAAATAAATAAATTAGAAGCTCTGCTTGCTATCATGGCATACATTCAACCCTAGGCGATTGCAGTATTCTAAAAACAGCAAGGCCGAGTCAGATAGCATGTGAAAAATCTGTTCCTGTTTGTATGCTGTGACTAGCAAGCTTTCTGGAGGCTGCAGTGGCACAGTACTAAGCAAATCCAAATGTTGTTCCTTGTTTTCCTCTAATGCTAGCCACTAATTGGTTACATTTAGGTATCACCATCAATATTCAAAAGCAAACTTTCTCACTTTCCTTCTCTAGAAGTCAGGACCAATGGTTATGGCATATGGAAGCTAGGAGATTATTTAATGTCTTTATTGGATTTCTATCCCACCTTCTTTCCAAGGAGCACAGTTATGGTTCTCTCAATAACCCTGTGATTTTTTCAGCCTGGAGCACAGGCCGGAAGATCTCCTACTCTGTCATAAATGAACAACCAAGTGTGTCTGCTTATTTTATTTAACACATGTGTAAGCAAAACATCTGGTGGGTTACAGTTTGGGGCAAGCTGACACATTAATGCCTTTTAACCATGTTCCCATGGATGTTGGCATGCAAGCTGCTTAAACTGTTACACCTTTTTTCACTTTTCCAGTGCATTGGACAATTGAAGAGTGAAATAGAATTTTCCATATCTGTGTTGCTATTGGAGAGTATTTCATCACTGTTCACATAATAGCTATAGTGTACTTAATCTAGCTCCCATGAGATCCTTCTTGCAGGGTCTGCAACTAACGATACTTAACTAAGAATTCCTCAGCAAAACATCTTCCACCATCCTTGACCACTGATCATGTTGAGTGGGGCAGATGGGAGTTCTAGTCCAAACCATCTGGGAGGAACCTATATTAGGAAAGGCTGAGAGTTCTTCTGGATTAACTGACCACACACAGAGAGGACTTTTGTTTAAGAAACAGCCTGTTCAGCACTCTGCATGTTTGCTTGCAATTGCAAAAATCTCTTGAAAACTGAGAGGGTGGAACAACCTTTGAGAACACACTTCTGCATTTCAGACTTGACCTCTTACAGCCACAGTCAAGAGGAGTAAGTGTGAACAAGACATCTCAAGCAACTACTATGTACTAAATTGGGAGTACAGGGGTGCAATGAATGAATGAATGAATGAATGTACGAAACAGGCATTACTGCTTGGAATGCTGGGAAGCAACACCAGTGTCAGAGGTCGGCAGGTGAGCAAAGGCAGGGGGCAGTTGCTACCTCTATTTGCTTGTTTCCCATTTCTCCCTGGATAGCGGCAGCAAATTCCCTGTTGGACAATTCTGAAAGTATGGAGTGTAGCAGCGTATTTGTTACACGAAGACCATCTTACCTAACCTGGTGCCCTCCAGCTATTTTGCACTACCATTTTTACCAACCCAGAGCATTGGCAATCCTGATTGGGACCGACAGTAATTCAGGAGTGCTGAATTGGGAAAGTCTGTATTAGAATGAGCGACCAAGAGAAGTTGACTGTAAGGAGCAGCTGCTGGCTCCTTCACTCAACTCATCTGCTCTTGAGTGGTGCTGCGACTCATTCCCGTTTTCCGCACGAAATGCAGCATGTGAACGGGAGTGCGTGGCAGCAGCTGCTTTGCCTCCGGTTGCCTTGCAACCGGGGGCCTTGCAGATGCTTTGGCCTGCAACTGTCATCAGCCCTGCTCAGCGGCACAGCCACTGCCGAGGGCTCATGGGAGTTGTAGGCCAGCCTTCAGAAGGGCCACCAGCCGTCCCCCCTTGCCCGACAAGGAGCAGGAGCAGCCGCTGCTCTCTCCTCCATCCGCTTAGCCTTCGCTCTGGTGGCATAGGTGCAATAACTGGGACTACTAGGCCAACCACAGCCACTCGCTGACCAGCGGGGGGGGGGGGGGGGGAAGGCAGTGGCAGGTGCTTTTTGTAGCCACCTCCTCAGCTTGCTCGCCCGAGCGATTGCAGCGCGACGAGCGGCTACCGCTGCTCCACTCGCGATCACGCTGAGTCGGGCACAGTGAGGCGGGAGGAGGATCGGGCCCCTTCCAGCGCTGGCGCGCGTGCCGCCGCGTCTCTCTCCCCGTTCGCCGGGCGTCTCTGACCACCGCCGCTTGATCGCCCTCCTCCCAAGCCCGCCGGCTGGCTGGCTGGCTCCGTTGTGCGGAAGAGAAGGGGCCGTCCCTCCGCCTCCTCCTTCTCCCGAGGCCAGCGAGTGGCTCGGGAGAAGGCGGGGAGAGGCGGGGCAGGGCAGGGCAGGCGGCTGGTAGTTTCCCGGCAGGGTACGACGTAGGGAGAGCAGAGGGGGCCGGGGACAGCGGCTCGGCGAAGCCCAGCAAGGCAGGCGGGCGGGCGGGCGGCGTCGCTTCTGGAGCTTCAGTGGCGGCGCCTCGGTGGGGCGGAATCTCTTAGTCCGGCGAGTGCGAGCGCTGTCTCGCGAAGAGCCCGCGTCGCTAGTGCGGCTGCCCTGCTCGTGACTCTTTCACCATGGAGGTCGAAATGCCACAGGTGAGACGCGCTACGCCCGCCTGCGAGGGCGCGGGACTGAGCAAGGAGCGGGTCCCCGGGGAGGAGGAAGGGGAGGCTGCCGCCGTCCCGTTACTCAGCGCCGGTCCCAGGGGGCGTGGGAGGGGCCGGCTAGCGCGAGGCCTCCTGGCGAGTTCACTTATCTTCCCCGACTTGGCTCGGGAGGAGGAGGGGAGACGGGAGAGGCTCCGCCCACCGCCCGCTGCGGGGCTCCCTGCCCCTCTCCGCCTCTCTCCGCCGAGCGCCGCCCCGCCGCCCGTGACGCAACAATCACATTCGCGCACGCTGACTCACTGCCGGCGCGGCGCGGCGCTGCCCGCCGTGGCTGCGGGGGGAGGGCTGGGGCCGCTTGCGAGCGGGAGCAATGGGCTGCGCTGCGGGGACGGACGAGCCCTCGACTGACAGCTGCCCCAACGGCTCAATTTAACCTGCTTGCTTTGCTAAATCTTCCTCAAGTGCTCGGCTGTCAACGAGACTTGCGAAGACAGGGGGCGCCTCTAAGTGTGGGTCGGGCTCTGCCCCCTCTTTTCTCCTGCTAGAGTCTCCGCCACACAAGATTGGGGATTGGGGAGCGAGGCGGCAGCGTGGTTGCAAAAAAATCTTCATATCTTACTCTTCTTAACCTTGGGGTTGGGGAGGGGGGTTGGGCTGAATGCTTTGGGCTATATTTAATCTGAAAGCGCTCCAAGGAAGTAGGAAAGGAAAATGAAGTATTATGGCCCGCTTCATGCGTTATATGATCTCCATGGCCGGTTTAGTCGCACATGGTAAAGTGGGCTATTGCATGTGAATGCTGATGGTGTAACCATCCAGTTATACGTCTCTTTATTTAGATTTATCGCCCCCCACCCCCTCTTTGGTTGCAAGAGTCCCCGAGATTATTTCTTTGCAGAGGGAAGACGGTATAAATGGTCGTTTAGGAAGTGCAGTGTAAGAGTTATTTTGCTGTTACTAGATGGGTCACAAAGGAGATGCCTGATACAGAGATGTCCACTTGAAAGATTAGGATAGTTTTATTTGTTTTCCCATGTCAAGATCTGGGTCTTCTGTAGGCTTGGTACTTGACCCTGTGTGCACAAACGACCAAGGCATGTGTTTCTGTGTAGTTTTTTGTGATGTTTAGACTTAAGATATGCCGAAAAGGAGTGTTGAGTAGCATTTTGGTTTAACAATTTCCTTTATGTTCTATAGGATTAACAGGTCTTGAGGGGTAACAGGTCTGCAGCTTTCATCTGATTACTAAAGCTATTACAAGAAATAACCATAAGCACACAGCATGGACATTTATTTAAAATATTTAATATATTACTGGGCTACTTCTTTAAGAAAATATTCATAATAGTTTTTAGCGAGTATCAGCACTATTATGAAAAGTGACAGGAAAACAAACAATATGTATTTAGAAAATGTAGTCTAATTAGAAAAAATGCTCAGTGCATCCTTTGAATACCAGATAGGATTGCACCCTTAATCTAAACCCAGCATACTTAAACAGATAAGAATTGAACAGGTTGGATCCAAATTTACCCTTCTGTGAACAGGAAGGTCTCATTCCATTTGAAGAAGTGACCCAGATCCAGAGGTGGCATAGGAGGATAGGAGGCAACCTTTGCCAAATTCTTCTACCTTTCACATTGTTCTAGGCAGTCTCCCAGCCCTCTGGAACAGCTTTTCAGGAAGGCAGGGAAAAGGACGAACTTAAAAAAAAAAAGTTTCCTCAACTGGGTGTTTCCTATGAATGAAGTTTCTGCTCATAGGATGTTTGGATCTACTAGTATGAAAGTTAGAATAAAAGCAGACACTGCATGCCTTGGATAATAAAAAAAAGTCTTAATCTTTGATGAAAGGAATACAGCAGAGGCATAGAACATGAGGACCTCTGGGAGCCAAGTCTAGCTACCTGGGATTTGCCAGATGGCCACAGCCATTTCCTGCTTAATCCTCCCTCACCCAGTCTCTAGCCATTTTGTGATTTCCCAGCTTCTGTGCAGTTTTTTCCTCATTCTGAAAGGTTGAAATGCCTTTCCTAAGTCGTAGCTACTGGCAGCAAGAGCTTTAGCCTAAAATATATGGTATTTAGGGCAATTTAGCCCCAACCACTGTGACTTCACCTCTGGACCCCATTGCTGGAATGTTGTTGCAAGAGCTTCTTTGACATGGAATTGGCCCTCTGACTGAAAAGGGTTCAACAGATAAGATATATACCCTATGCTGGCATTTGCCCACTTGCATATGAAGCTGAAGTACGAAAGCTGAAGCTCACTGGGCAATGTAAAATTCATAAACATAAAATACAATGTAAGATAATGCCATAAATATGATTAAATTTAAAGTAGAGATTTAAACTCACATTTTAAACAGCTAGGACATGTTTATAAAACCATGCTTGTTAAAGCAACTGGCATAACTCCCTGCGTCCATGTACTATTTAGAGCTGTTAAAGAGCTTAGGGTTGGCACTGAAAGGATGGCCGAATTGACACCAGGCAGGCCTCAGTGGGAGATTCTGTCATGATTAAGGGGCTGCCATAGAGAAGGCCTTCTTCCTTGTTGCTCCCAGCTGAACCTCCCTTGGGGGCAGCCTTTGGAGGAAGGCCTCAGATGTTGAACGTAGGCTCTGTGTAGGTTGTAGTTGAGAGTGGTGCTCTGTCAGTATTGCTGTCCCAAGCTGGGTTGCAGGCTCACTTGTAAGCCCACCCTCCCCAGCTGTCTGCTATCTGGTTAGGCTGTCATGTAGAGTGCAAAAGCCTGAAGAGGACTATTTAAGAAAAATCAGCTGAATTTGTTTATCGAATTCTCAAAATTGTGACCCTTACCTTATCAGGGTTTCCACTTGTGGAAACTCTGTAAGTGCAATCAGCTGAACACATCAAGCCTTTTCAGACCTTCATGCTCAATGCTCAGAGGTCTAATGTATCAGGCAGGGACACTGGGGTTGGGACCCATGTCACCCTTCACACTTTAGTCTGACATTCAAACAGGTGATTACCTGCATTGGATGAGGGTGTTCCAAAAATGTGCTGCCACTGCTCAGAAGGACCTCTTCTGGTTTTCTTCCCACCTAATTTCACTAAATATACACACCAAAAGGGCTGTTTTATGCATTTTGCCAAATGCCACACACACAAAAAACACCCTCATGGATCCTTAGGGGGGACTAAAACACATTCAAAGAACCTTAATAAAAGCAGAGTCAAGATGTTGCTTTGCATATCTCCCTGGGTGTTTGCGCGCGCGCGCGCGCGCGCGTGCGCGCTCTCTCTCTCTCTCTCTCTCTCACACACACACACACACACACAAACACAAACAAACACAAACACAAACACAAACACAAACACAAACACAAACACACACATTTTGTGTGTTATTATTGGTGAAGTCTCAACAGGTTTGGAGATGAAAACTATCTTTAAGACACTGAAAACTTGAATGTGTTTCCTATAAATTGAACAGCTGCCTCCTAGTTTTAGGTACTGTGGAAGATAACAGCCAGGTTCCTTGTAGTGTTGTTCCTCAATTCTGTTTGTGTTTTTACAAACAGGAAAGGGAGGGAAAATATCTTCTTGGGCACCTATTTTCTTACAGCATTCCTACTGATAGTGACAAGGTAAGAAACAGAGCTTTACTGTGGTTTTCCTGGACCCAAGCAGCAGTAACTTTGAGCCCTGGAAAAACAAATTCTTGGTGTACCACAGACTTATGCTACAAACAGTTGGGTGTGAAACACAAAGCATAATAAAATTACCTTGGCATCTCCTAACAACTCTTTCATAATCTCACTCCCCATTTTGGTCTCTCAGGGCTTGGCTCTATGTACATATAATTTTATTGTACTGTTAATTATCTACTTAATCTACAAGTACAAAGGTTGACGTTTTCATTTGCTATACGGCAAACAGGGTGAACAAAGGACATTGGCTTGCATTTCTTGACTTCTCATGAAATAGGGCTACTTGGCCGAAGTTAATATAATAGTCTAATATCTTTATGCTTAATTGAAATTCAGTACTGTATACAGGGTGGAAGAATGGCCATTGTGTAACTAGCATGTAGATACCGTAAGGTTTACAAAGTGGTAATTCCCTTACGGTAGTGGAATGCTGAGAAGCAGGCCTGTGGCAAGGAGGTGACTCTTTAAGGGCTAATGAACATGATTCCTGGCTTGTGGCTGTTGCTTTTGAAATTGTACTTGTGGTGGCTGTTCCAGGCAAACAGCTGCTCTGACTGATTTACCTGAAGGAGCGCTTACATCCATATACGCCTGCCCGCCCGCCCACCCCTTGAGATCTGCGGGAGAGGCCCTTCTCTGGGAACCCTCCGTGAAAGAAATTAGGAGGGTAGGTACTCGGAGGAGGGCTTTCTCTGTGGTGGCGCCCAATCTATGGAATGCGCTCCCCAGAGAGGTCCGCCTGGTGCCGTCATTATTTGTTTTTCGGCGCCAGGCGAAGACCTTTTTAT